CAATAAATGTCCCTGAAGAAAACTAACCAAGAAAAGCCATTCTAATGAATATACGAGTCTTCCTCAAATTTTGTTCAGAATTCAGTGACATTTTTATGTGGCTGTCCCCAAAATTGTTTGGTAGAAATGATATGAAGCTACACCAAATCATTCGTAGAAAGCCAACTGACAATCGCACGCAATCAGCTTAGCTCTATTTAAACACAAAATTAGATCATTTTCTATTGCATTCAAGCATACAATTGCTTAATCATTTTATAGAGCTGCATATTTACTGGACATGGAAGCATTGGAATTAAGTTTCTAGAGAGAAACCCACTCAGAACTCCTTTGTGCTATGGTCTAAAAGGATATTACTGCCAGAGGAGAAATATGTGGAATTTGCCTAGAATTTTTTGGAGCTCCTTGACATTGGGTATATTTGTGTTTTGTGTTCTTAAGACAGAAACACTGGGGCCTTCTAGGCTATACAAACAAAGGAAATGAGATTATTAGGTAACAAGATAGGTCTCAGCTGCTTCTATCACCTGGACTTCCTTCTCTGGGAATCTACTCAATAAAAAGCTTTGTTTTGATACTACAAGAAGCAATTAGAAACAGAAAACAAACTCAACTCTTCCCTTTCTGAAGTACAAACATGCCCTGTGTGTTCCTGTCCATCTCTCTTCTCCTTTCTCTAAGACTGGTGTCGTCAGACTGGAATTTTCTCATTCAGAGAGAATCACCAAATAAACATGTATATGCTAACAGCGATGGATCTAGAAAGAAACCATTTAGAACTCACAGATACAGAAGTAAACTGGCAACCTGTTAGAGACAATGTGTTTGGTGTGTCTTGCTGTGTCTGTTACCCCAATACCTACTCCCTACCCCCTCCAACTGTTGATCTTCTTCTCCCTGTTTTGTAGATGTTCAGATGAATTAAGTAAATGGCCCAAGGTGACACAACATGAGGAGAGTGCATGTTAATTCAGCATTGCAATGTCTCGGCTCTTTCCACATTATACAACTTCTGCCAGAAGCCAGGCGCCTGTGGCTCACATCTGTCATCATAGCTACTCAAGAGGCTGAGATCTGAGCATTGAGCTCTGAAACCAGCCAATGCAGGAAAGCCTATGAGACTCTTATCTCCAATTAACCACCAAAAGGTCACAAGTGGACTGTGGCTTAAGGTAGAGCACTAGCCTGGAGCACAGAAGTTGGTGATCACTAACTTTTCACATAATAATGATTTGTCCTACCACAGATATAAATCCATTTCAGTCTTTTAAATGCTTGCATAGAAGGTTCCTTGAAAAGATGTCTTATTTCAACAATCTCCTATTAATGGGCTTTTAGTTTCAAGTTTTTTTTTTGTTTTGTTTTGGTTTGTTTTTTGGGGGGAGAGGGTTGTTTTTGCCAGTCCTAGGGCTTGAACTCAGGGCCTGGACTCTGTCCCTGAGCTTCTCTGTGCTCAAACCTAGTGTTCTACCATTTGAGCCACAGTCCCACTTCTGGCTTTTTTGAGTAGTTTATTGGAGATGAGTATCTCATAGGGACTTTTCTGCCTAGGCTGGCTTCAAACAACGAGCCTCAGTTCTCAGCCTCCTGTGTAGCTAGGATTACAGGCATGATCCACTGGCACCCAGCTAGTTTCAAGACTTTTGTTATTTTAAAAAATGGTTCTTAACTAGGCGTCAGTGGCTCACGCCTGTAATCCTAGCTACTCAGGAGGCTGAAATCTGAGAATCATGGTTCCAAGCCAGCCCGGGCAGAAAAGTCCATGAGACTCTTATCTCCAATAAACTACTAGAAAACTGGAAGTGGCGCTGTGGCTCAAGAGGTAGAGTGCTCACCTTGAGCTGAAGAGTGCAGGAACAACACCCAGGCCCAGAGTTCAAGGCCCATGACTGACAAAAAAAAAAAAAATGGTTCTTTGGTACAATTTGTACGTATGTGCAACCAGTTTTACCAAATCCGTTCTTAGAAGTGGAATTGTTGAACAAGAGTACAATGCCATCCTGTCATCTTGATGAGCTTACTGACTGCCCACCATATTGATTTACTAGATTACATGTCTTGCAGGAGAATGTGCCAAGCTGTTCGCCTTGCCCCAGGTACTCAATGCGCCATTGGACGTTCCAGTTTTGTAAATTATAGGCTAGCGAGCATTCTATTAATTTCGGTTTGTATTTCTCTGTAAGTGCAGCTGCATTTCTATCAGGTTTAAACATAATTTGTATTTCCCTCACTTTGAATTGTCAGGTCAGTTTTCATTGGATCATTGAGTTTTACTTATTGATATATTTATTTATAGTAGTCAAAGATACTAGCCCTTCATCTGTCATTATTTTGAACGTTTTTTTTCTGCATTATCATTTGCTCTTAAGTATCGTTCATTGTATTTTTTCCATACAGAAATGTTCGATTTTATATATTCAAATAGCTTTGGTGGCTCCACTTATTCCAGGTCACCCTCTGTTACTGAGATTCTTGAAGAAATGTGCTCCACAGGGCTGGACGCCTTAGCTCAATTGTGCTCCCTGTTGGCATTGAACAAGGAACACAAAGCTCCTCTTTTGTCCTCATAAACCACCTTTTAGGACTGGAGCTGGGTCAGACCCTACATTGTCTAATGCTATTCAGGCATAGCTAACTCATGCTCAAGTTCAATGATATGTTTAGGGAGAATGAGAATGGAGTCCCTACTTGTTTCATGACAGGCCCTCGCTTCTAGAGCTGGCCTGTGGAGCAGATTTCCATCTTCACTGATGACATGCTTCACCCTAAATTATGGCCTCCAAACTCTTGTGCTCAGGGCCTCTAATTATGAACCTGTCTGCTTAAGAAGAAGAATGAGAAAGGCAGGCATGTTGAGGTGTCCATACACAGTTGAAATATGGATCAGAGAGTTTATATTGGGAGGCAGAAGACTGTCCTGGGTCCTCTTGAGAGTTTAACCATGCTCATCCATCCTTCCTGCAGGAATAATATGCAAAAATGTCTCCTGTCCTCTGTGGGGTAGATCATCTCCAGTCAAGAACCACTGACGTCGATCCTAAATATATTCTGCCAGCATTGTTTCAAAACTCAACCCTCAACTCCATATGATACGAGATTGGCCCATTAAACAAACTGAATTTTGAACATGTTCACTGAAGTTTGCAAACTACCCTGAGTTATCTTCGTAGCAAGGGTGTCTTTATGAAGCTGTTTCCTCAGGGAAGATAAAGGATTTAAGATGAAGAAATTGAGTTAATCATATTCGCCAGTCCATGACACCAATGCGCTCTTCTCTTTCCTGTACATGGACTTAAATTATTTTACCCCCATTTTAACATAAACCCTCGTATTTGATGTGTGCTACTTTAAACTGTTCTTTTCATTTGAGTACTTTTCTATCATCACTTATCCATAATTCGTCATTGTGTGTAGGTATGGAACCAAGAGTTTTTACTTAAATTCATTTAACAGCAAAATGTGATGAAAATCACATGAGGTTCTTTATCCACTTACTATGACTGGTTCCACATTTTACTGTGAAGATATCATGCTTGATCATGAGGTACTGCCTCTCTCCTGTTTAAAATTCAAATATCTTAAAATTCCAAAATAAGTGCAATGCCAAGAGTTTTGTCTATCCTATAAACTGTATAGAGATCGTATTCTGTTTTTCCATCTTTATACTTTTACCCAGTGTTTTAATTTTTAGATCCCTGTTGAGACATGACTGTCTAGTCTAATACTTTAAGTGCTGGTTCTGGACTTGAACTCAGGGCCTGGACACTATCCCTGACCTTCCCACCAGCCTCTCAAGATAGCACTCTACCACTTGAGCACTCTTCACTTGCAGCTTGTAGTTACTTGGAGAGAGGAGTCTTACAGACGTTCCAAGTCGTGGACCCTCAACTCAGCCTCCTGGGCCATCAGTACCCAGCTTAGTCTATTATTTCTAACTGCTATAGAACGGACCGCTCCTCCGTGAGTGGATTTTGCCTTCCCAGGGGTGGAAGCGGACTGTCTCTGATGCCCACCCCTACACTGAGTAGACGAACACCCTCAGACCCACCCCTTCCCAATCTTCTTGTCTGGCCATACCTTGGGTGACAATGAAAGACACTTCCTGCAAAGGTGGGCAAGTGTTGGAATGACCTTTGCCAAGTCCTAAAGAGACCGGCCTGCATGCTGGCGTGAGCGCGGCTGGGGTTGGCCACAGAGGTAACAGCTAGTGGGCGCGCTGTGCCACACGCTTGACCCTCTCCTGACCGCTGTGGGCAGCAGCTGTGCCTCGTGCTAAACACGGCGTGCGGGCGTCTGTCCCCTGCTCTCCCGTTTTGTTCCAGTGGTCGTGGGTTCTCCTAGCAATGTCTGCTTTGATTACAATTGCTTTGCAGTGTCTTATCACGAAAGGCACTCACCACAGCATTGCACACGCAGGTGGTGGTGGGTTCCCGGAGCAGGCCCGACGCCCCAGCCTCAGCAGCGCACATCCGGGCTACCCTCGCGCACCCCACACAGTCACGCTCGCGCCCCGCGGGACCCGTGGCCCGGCACTCCCCCCCGAGACCCCGGAGGGTGCAGGGAATGCACGCACCCGCACCCCATCCTGAATCCCCCAGCCCCGCATCCCATCAGTCCCGTGGGATCGGGCCCTGAGCTCGGGGTCAGCATGGTACCGCAGTCCCCCTAGAACACATGGCGTCGGCGTGGGGTGGGGGCGTTCCCGGGGGTGCAGCTCACCCGGCACGCGCGGGCGTGGCACACGGCAGGGATGGGCCACGGACTCGTCCACGCCCTCCAGAGCCCGCCCGCTCCTGGCTGGGACGCCCCGCGCGGCGGGCCGGGGCTTCTGCACCAGGCAGGGGGCGGAGCTTCCGGGCCAGGTAGAAGCCCGGCTTCGGGACCGGGTTTCGGGACAGGGGCGGGGCTTTTGAGTGGGCGGGGCCTTGTGGGCGGGGCTTGCGGACCTGGCAGCCGATTTCCGTTTCGCTTTCCGCGGGCTGGGGGCGGCGGCGGCGGCGGCGGCGGTGGTGCTGCCCCTCGGGTGCCCCCCCCCGCCCCCCTTCCCCCGAGAATGACGCCGCGCGTGCCCGGGCCCGGCGGCGCCGAGAGACGGAGAGGGAAAGCGGGAAGCCGGGCGGGAAAGTCCTCGCGGAGGGAGGCGATTATAAAGATGCGGCCCCCGGGCGTCCTCCCAGCCTCGCCCGCCGCCCGCCGCCCAGCATGCGCCCCGCGTCCGGTGAGCACGCGGGCCGACCTGCTGCGCCGGCGGGCCGGCCAGCGGGCGACCCCGGGCGGGGCTCGGGGCGGACGCAGGCGCGACGACTTCCCACCGGACGCGGAGGGAAACTGAGGCAGCCCGGTCAGCGGAGGGAGGAGGCCCTTGCGTGGATCGCGGACGGAGGCCTCGCACCCCACTGCCTCCAGAAGGGGTCCGGAGGGAACCGGGCCTCCGCCTCCCAGCCTCAGTTTCCCCCGCCGTCCGTGGAGGGAGGGAGGGCGGCTGCCCGGCTCGCCCTGGGCCTCCCGGGCTCCGGCCTGGGGCGGCGCCGACCGCACGTGGAGGGGGGGCGGTCGGGGACGGCGGGGAAACTGAGGCTCGCCCCCCCCCCCCGCAGCTCTGCTCCTCGTGGCCGCCCTCGCGCTCCTGGACCACACCAGCCAGGCCAGGAGCCTGTCCGCGCCCGCAACCCACGCGGGGGGGGCCCACGCGTGCCTCGGCAGCTCCCAGAACCTGCTGCGGGCCGTCGGTCGCGCGCTGCAGAAGGTGAGCCAGCGGGGCCGCGGGGAGCCGGCACCGGTGTCAGGGGAAACTGAGGCTCCCCCGCCGACGGGGAAAGGGGGAGGAGGAGGGAGCCGTCTGGTTTATTGGCAGCTCCTGCGGCTTCCTCGCGGGATTGGGTGGGGTGTTAGTGATTTGTTTGCTACCCTGGCTTGGAAGTCGGAGCCCCGCAACTGCACCTGCGAGGCAAGGCTGGCGCTCTGCCACCTGGGACAGCCTCCAGCACCCCCCCCCCTTTTATTTTTGGTTTAGTTTGCTTTTCGGGTAAGGTCCCCAGCTCCCCCAGCCTGGGCTTGGTGCCCTCTTGGACCTCCATGTTCCTCCCACCTCCACCTCCCACCCTCCCTGGCTTTGGGGAGATGGGGTTTTCTGCTAACTTTTAGCCAGGCTGCCCTCCCATCTCTGCCTCCAGGGTAGCTATAGTTTTAAGTAGAGGGGCCAGTTTTCCAATTAGCTCTTGCTTTTACTGAAAAGCTATAGCAAAAATCAATGTCCTGAAAGATATCCTAGGTGTGTGAGGGTCTGTGCCTGATCCCAAGAACGGGAGGGGGGGGGCAGGGGAGGAGGGGAGGCAGATAAACTCTTTGGCCTTCCTTCCCTCTTTTTTTTCTTTATAATGCTAGTACTGGGGCTTGAATTAAGGTCCCAGTGTCCTTGCTAGGCTTTTCCCATTCCCGGCTGACAATCACTTGAGCCACACCAGCTGTGGTGTGATTTTGCTGATTCATTGGAGATAAGAATTCTGAAGTGGGGCTGGGAAGGTGGCTCAGTGGTAGAGCGCTTGCCTTGCATGCATGAGGCCCTGGGTTCGATTCCCCAGCACCACATAAGCAAAAAGAAAAAAAGCCAAAAATGGTGCTATGGCTCAAGTGGTAGAGCGCTAGCCTTGAGCTGAAGAGCTGAGGGACAGCGCCAGGCCAGAGTTCAGGCCTCAAGACCAGATCCCCCCACCACCACCACCAAAAAGAAAAGAATCCTGAAGTCTTTTCTGTGTGGGCTGGCTTTGAACCATGATCCTCGGATCTCAGCCTCCTAAGGAGTTAGGTTTACAGGCGTGAGCCACCTACAGCCAGCTGTAGGAACGTCTTCCTTCCTAATTTTCATCACCTTTTAAATAGCTTAAAATAAGCTCAATGTTTAGGAAGACTTCAGGAGAATTCTTTTCTTCCTTTACAATCTTTCAGGAATCACTGCCAACTGCTCCTCACATATCAGTCTTTTTGAGGGAAGGGGGAAGAGTCCTGGGGCTTGAGCTTGGGGCCTAGGCACTGTCCCTGAGTTTTTGTGTTCAAGGCTAGCGCTCAACCACTGAAGCCACAGCTTCATGTCCAGATTTTTTGGCAGTTCATTGGAGTGAAGGATCTTGTGGACTTTCCTTCCCTGGGCTGGTTTTAAGCCTTTAAAACTCAGAACCCAGCCTCCTGAGTAGCTAGGATTACAGGCGTGAGCACCAGCACCCAGCTTCAGTCAATCTTAATTAAGAAGGAGCTCACCATAGGAACCCAGCAGAAATAAGTTGTGTGTTTCCATATGTAGACCCTCCCATTTAAATGGATGCTCTGTAGAAAAGCCTGAATTCCCTGCAGGTCAGAGATGGAGGTGAAAGCCAGTGGGCTCCCGTGTGCTGGCAGCCGGGGGACCAGCCCCACGGGGGACCCATGCCTTGTCAGCATCAGCTGAGCTTCTCTTTGTGTCTTCACAGGCCAGACAGACCCTGGAACATTACTCTTGCACTGCGGAAAAGATTGGCCATGTAGATATCACAAAAGACAGAACAAGCACGGTGGAGGCCTGCGTGCCCCTGGAGCTGGCCAAGGTAGAATCACACGCTGCACACCAGACTCTGCCCTGCCCTGTTCCCTTCAGAACACAGATCTGAGCTACTAAAAGCTGTCAAAAAAAAATAGGGAAGGGGAGAACCACAGGGAAAAGGTAGAGAGGGGCCCATATATATACATACATGTATAATTATAAATATGTAATAAATGTATAAATATATTTATATATATATACATACACACACATATGAGTGAAAGACCATGATGTAAACCCTTTGTCAAGTGAGTATATATTAAAAAAAAGAAGAAGAAAAAGCCAAGGTTTGGAAGTAAACACTATAACAACAATGTAAGTAGAGTTGACTCCCCTGAATATATACTTCAAAATATGAAGATGTGGGAGTATAAACTTCAAAATATGAAGATTATGTGTTATGAATTTTTGCCATAATAAAATGTTCATGGTGTAACTTTGGGAAAGTTTGTATTAAGAATTCATGTCTTTGAAGCTGGACACTGGTGGCTTATACCTGTAATCCCAGCTCCTCAAGAGGCTGAGATGTGAAGATTGAGGGTCAACGCCCGCCCAGGCAGGAAGGGACTACAGTAGCTACAATTAACCACCAGAGAAAGCCAGAGTAGAGCTATAGCTCAAGTGGTAGAGTACCAGTCTCAAATGGAAAACTAAGGGACAGTGCCCAGGCCCTGAGTTCAAGTCCTGGGAACAGCACACAACACACAAGATAATTCATGTAATTTTTTCCCCTCCAGAACAAGAGCTGCCTGGTTTCTAGAGAAACGTCTGTCCTGACTGTAAGTGAAAAACTTAACAGCTCCCCCTCGTAAGAACCTGCATTCTACTGATGGCTGTGTTTTTCTCTCTTCCAGACGGGGAGTTGCCTAGCCTCTACAGAGCCTTCTCCAGAGCCGATGATGGTAAGATGCTGCTTTTAGTTGCAGTGGAGGAAATGCCCAGAACCTGGAGCCCCTCATAATGGTTTCCTTCTCTTTCTGTCTTGTAACCCAGACCCTGTGCCTCAGCAGTATCTACGAGGACTTGAAAATGTACCAGGGGGAGTTCAAGGCCATGAATGCAATACTATTGATGGATCCCACAAGTGAGATCACTCTAGATAAAGACATGCTAACAGCTATTGATGCCCTGATGCAGGTAAGGCCTCAGGCGGCCTGTGAGGGCATCTTCTTCACGTTGGGGATGGCTAGCCAGGGACCGGGAAGAGGCGGGATAAATTCAGCTCTCACTGGATTGAGAGTGGCCTGAAATCCCTGGGAAGGCCTTGAGGAGAGAGATCTGCACGGGGACAGTCCTGGAGCACTGTTTGTAGGTGGCAAACGAAGGCTTCTCCTTAGGAGAACCAGCCACAGGTGGTGGCCATGGGCATCGCCAGGCTTCTGCAGATGTTTTTATGCCTTCTTTTTCTTTTTCATGCAGTACTAGGGTTTGCGCTCAGGGTCCTGTGCTTGCTAGCCAGGTGGTATACTGCCGAGTCACACCTCCAGTCCTTATTTGCATTGGTTATTTTTGAGATGGGGTGTCTCTTTCATCCTGGGTGCATACCTGGGACCTTGATCCTCCTGTTTTAGACTTGCCACTGCGGCTGGAATGACAACCATGCACCAGCACACCAGCTGCTTCCACTGAGACCGAGTCTCATGTGTGGATTTTTCTTCCAGGGCTAGCAGAGAACCCCAATCCTCCCCATGCTAGCCTCCTTCTAGGTGCGGGCCACTGTGCTCAGCTGTGGTGGAACTCTGTCAGAGCCTCAAACCACGATTCTCTCAATCTCAGCCTCACTGTAGCTAGGCTGGCACACCTGAGCCCCTGGAGCCCAGATTTCCGTGCATTTGTTAAATGTCAGCCTACAAGCCAAGGAGATATGTATTGAGGAATCATAAGAGCATGAGACCACTCATCCATGATCACACGGCCAACCAGAGGCAGAGCCAGGATCCCTCCCAGCAGGATTCCACAGCACTGTGTGCTCAGTGAGGCTTCAGGAGTCGGATGGGAATGCAAGGGGGTGGTGTGTGCATACTCACATGGGGCCGGTGCTGCTCATGTTGAATGCAGTTGAATGCAGTGTGAATGAACCAAAGGCCCTGCCAGCCAGGCCATCTCTGGCGTTGCTCACTGGGGGAACAGCTGTATTGTTTTCCAGGTCACCATGGCAGGTAGAGACATGGAAGTGTGCACAGAGAAAGACAGCCGAGCGCTCTGCCCACTAGGCACAGGGTAGAAAGACACTATCAGAAATCATTGAAATGTAACAGCTTCCTTTTTGGGATTTTATTCTTTTTCTTCCCTTTCACATCATTTTGTGTGTGCCAAAGTCATTGTCTGAAAGGCCGTGAACTTCATGCAAACATCAAAGAATGCATATCATACTGGGAACTATGTGATGTCCGCTGTCCGTGATTTGAACGGTGGGGTCAGTGCTGTGGGGAGTCAGTTAATACCTCCTTCCTCCATTTGCTGTCTGTAAAGCAAAAGTGGCTGCACACACCCTCCAAGTCTCTTAGGTTTTTTTCTGAAGCGTGAATGAGAGTAGAGACTCTCCATCTATCATGTAACAAAAATCTCATGCTGCATTAGCAAATCAAGGGGCTAAAATTGGGAGATCCATTGCCAGAGAGTCATCTTCCACAATTGGTGTTTCCATAGTGAACAGGTCTGTTTACTCCTCCACAGACCAGAGCGGTCCCCTACCGTCCTACTTTGAAACCTACAGGGCTTCTGGATGCAATGTATAAAAAATTAACTAGATACCGCAGTTGGTATCAACAGAATTATAGAATTGTGCCTCTCCACAATATAACTCCTGCTGGTGATAGTCTTCATTTGTGGGTAGGGCCGTGGAGGGTGGTGTGACAATACTGGGACTTGAACTCAGAGCTAGGCATTGCCTCTGAGCTCTTATGGTCAAGGCTAGCACCACTTTGAGCCACAGCTCCATTTTCAGCTTTTTTGGTAAGTTAATTGGAAATCAGAGTCCCGTGGACTTTCCTGCCTGTTCTGGCTTCTGTGATCCTCAGATCTCAGCCTCTTGAGTAGCTGGGATTACAGGTATGAGCCACCGGCACCTGGCAATATTCTAAATGGCCTTCTGGAGCTCACCAAGGATACATGGAGAAATGAGGATTTCACCTCTGCTGGGGGTAGATGTGGAGTGAGTTTGGGAGCCTGCAGGTAGGGTATGCTGTAGGTTCTGAGGCGGGCACTGGCTTCGCCCATTATTAATGAGGAAGAACTCTACATACTATACAGACAATCATGATTTCTTCTTTCAGGCTCTGAATTCCAAGAGCGAGACGGTGCCACACCAACCTTCCTCTGAAGAGCCAGATTTGTACAGGATAAGAATGCAGCTCTGCATCCTTCTCCATGCCTTTAGAGTCCGTGCAGTTACTATCGACAGAGTGATGAGCTACCTGAGCTCTTCCTGAGAGGACGGGCCCTCCCTGCAGTGTCTGGTAGAGCTATAATTGATGAGCTATTCTGTACCAAAGTATTCATGGAAACAGACACTCCCTCTTATTTATCAGTATTTATTTATTTTATTCAGGAAAATGTTAACTAATTTATATTTATTTATATTCTATTTATTATAATGTATTTATAAAATGCTGGAAAACATACCTTGTAAATGTTGTTCTAGTAATAAAAGCTTTGGAAGCAATTCTAATATGTTGCTGATGTCATTGAAGCATGGCAGTGATACAGTAGACATTCCAGAGAAACATAAACCACTGATGAAACCCGAGCATAATGATCTGGCAGAGATAGCCACAGCACCCTTGCCCATGCCCTCATCTCTTCTCCTTTGACCAGGAGTCTAGGAAAACCAGGCTTTGTGCTCAGGTTGCTCAAAAGAGTCATGGTTTTGAAGAATTGCCTCTTGATTGTAGCTGAGCACTAGTGGTTCAAATCTGTAATCCCAGCTACTCAGGAGGCTAAGATCGGAGGATCACCGTTCAAAGCCACCCAGGAAGAAAAGTCATAAGACTCTTACCTTCCAACATCTCAGTCAAAACAACCCTGAGATTCCATCTCACCCCAGTTAGAATGGCCATCATCAAAAAGAAAACACGCTGGGGTATATATGTGGGGAAATGAACCCTGATACATTGTTGGTGGGAATATAAACTAATTCAACCATGATGGAAGGCAGTATGGAATTCCTCCAAAAGCTAAGCAGAACCACCCTACCATCCACCAAATCCACCCTTGGGCATTTATCCAAAAGACTACACATCAAGATATGGTAAAACTACTTGCACAATCATGCTCTTTGCCTGATGTCTTTCAATGAATAAATGGATCAAAAAATGTTATATCTATCTAGATATATATAAAGACAGTTAGTTATATAGATACAGATGTAATTTGCAGAGAAGCAGATGGACCTGGAATCAATTATATTGAGATGAGTCAGATCAAAGGACTCAGGTTTTCTCTCCTACATGGAAGTTATATCTATCTGATTTGTAAATATATTTGTAGACACAGAGTCACATGCATATGTGACTCAAGTAGGAATATGCAGGGGAGACAATCTCTGGACAACCAGCATTGAATCTAACAAAATTACTACCAGGAAGCTGACTCTGGGTGGAGGAGGTGGGGGAGGGCAAGTGGAGAGGGTAGAAGAATGAAGAGAGGAAGTGTAGGAGAATGCAGTGGTAACATTCAATATACATATGTGGAATTGGAGCTGGGAGGATTGAGGGGATGGGTGGGGTTGGGAGAGGTGGAGAGGAGGAAGGAGGACACGGGTCCAGATACACTGTACTAACTGAAGCTCCTTTGTACAGCTGTGTTCCTAATGTGGGGTCCACAGAGGGCTGACTTCACGCACAGCTTCTCCAGCTAGAAAAAAGTGAAAAACTCACTGAACTAAGCCACCTCTGTAGTTGTTTATATAACAAGTAACAGGACCTTCTTTAAGACTTCCAAGCAATGCCAGGCACTTCCTCTTATGTGGAAATCACACATGAGCCAGAGGCACAGACAGACACCTGTGATGAAGATGGCCAGCTGACTTTGGGAAGAGCACTGGCCTGCCCCTGAGGATGGAAACGGACTGGCCCTGAGCCCACCTGACCGCTCTATGGGCCGCTGGAGCTCCGGCTGAGAATCTGCAGGAGCCTCTGATGTCAGCACCCAGAGCTCACTCCCCCAGGGCCTCTGGTGAGCTTCAGCTGCATGGCTGGGTTGGTCTGCCCTGTGCTGAGCACACAAGAGACCCTGAGTTTGATCACTACTACAGCAAAATCCAAGAAGAAGAATCAAGTAATAAGTAACTGTCCGAAGAAGACAGGTGAGCAAGCACGCAGAAGCAGTCTCGTGTTCTGCCCTGCAGCTATAACTCATAGGTTCTTTAATTAACGAAACAAAGCAATATGAAATGTTAATTCCCCCACAAGAGGACACCCGACATCTGACCATATACACATATTCTCCTCAAAAACTATCTTACAAGGTGCCAATGGGGCCCAGAATTTTCTGAGGTGAGACTTCAACACGAGCATAGACTTTTCCTTTGGTTCTTTTACAGCTATTTCTGATATACATTCCACTACCTTCTCCAAAGTCAGTTGCCCAGGAGTAAAATCAAGCACCTTGCTTTGGCTGGGTGTGTAGTTCAGCGACAGAGGATGTACCAAGAAGTACCAAGGTCCTGTTATTCCTAGCAACACACACACACACACACACACACAAACACACACACACACACACACACAAAACACACACACCCTCTCCAGGTGCAGGAGACATCTCCAGTTCAAGGATCTGAGTTCTAGTCTCTATTATGCCTTCGCCCCTGTTGTCTGGGAAAGGACAGCATTTCACAGATGCTTGAGACAGGGTGATACCCGTTTTGTATCTAATTATAGCAATGTTTTCCTAGACATGGTGTCACGGAACATGTCTGCCCAGGCACACCATTGCATCACAGGTGACAATGCCTCTTGGTCACATTTGCCTTTCCCAGCTGGTTGCCTTGCAGCACAGGAAAAGATCCCTGGTTGCATCAACCTCAAGACATGGCCAAGCTGGTGCTCAGTTCCTCTCCAGTCCCAGCCCTTCATTCACCCACAACCAACACTGCCTTGGCCCACCTAATATTTGTTCCTGGACTTGTGCCCCCTTGACACATAAGTGCCCCCTTTGCAAACTTTCTAGATTGAAGGGTGGGTGGCAAGGGTGGCCACGCCCCCTGGAGGCCCCTGGAGGCATGGCTGATTCCTCCTGACAACCTTTTCTGTCTGCCTCCATGAACTGTTCCAGAAGCCTATGGAACACCAGCTCCAGGACATCCCCACACGCACCTGTTCTGTTACTATGGAGTAACCACCCCTGCACTGCACAGCAGTGACACAAAATTTTTTAAAAATCAACAAGTAGGGGCTGGGAAGATAGCTCAGTGGTAGAGTGCTTGCCTCGCATGCATGAGGCCCTGGGTTCGATTCCTCAGCACCACATAAGCAGTAAAAGCAGGAAGTGGGGCTGAGGCTCAAGTGGTAGAGCGCTAGTCTACAGCTGAAGAGCTGAGGGACAGTGCCCAGGCCCAGAGTTCAGGCCCCACGACCGACAAAAAAAAAATCTCAAAAATCCAACAAATACTGTAAACAGTGGCTAGCAGAAGCTAGGAGGATGGGGGAGTCGGGAGAGGCCAGACAACAGGTTCTAAGAGTTTGGAAGGAGGGATGTGCTGCCGTGCTCTACAGCGACGTAGTGCTGTGTTGTGCTTCACAACAAGTTTTCTGCAAAGAACAGGACAAGCTTAATGATCTCAGATATAAGGAAACAATGGGGATTGGGGAGGTAACTCCATGTAAGACACTCGCTTCCCATGCACAAGACCTTGGGTTTGACGGGGTAGGGGTGGGGGACAACTTCAGAGAAGGAAGAGAGAGAGGGGGCATGGAGGGAGGGAGGGAGGATTCGGGTTACCTTGATTTGGTCCATACACACTGTTCATATTAAATTATTTCACTATATATCATTGGGGCTGGGAAGGTGGCTCAGTGGTAGAGCGCTTGCCTTGCATGCCTGAGGCCCTGGGTTCCATTCCTCAGCACCACATAAGCAAAAAGCCGGAAGTGGCGCTGTGGCTCAAGTGGTAGAGCGCTAGCCTTGAGCTGAAGAGCTGAGGGACAGCGCCCAGGCCCAGAGTTCAGGCTCCACGACCGAACCCAAAAAAAATAAATAAATAAATTATTTCACTATACATCATAAACATGTATAATTTTGGTCTATCAGTAAAAACATGAAAATAAAGTAATAAAAAGCAAATATCAACTCACTGATTTAGATACAACACTGGCAACTCCAAAATCCATGATACCCTGAACGGCACATGGCTTTAGAAGTCACAAAAAGCAGAACATGCAGAGGAAGACAGCTGATGGAGAAGGAGTACAGGGTGGTGGAGGGTGGACGGGTGTGGGGTGGCCAGGGCAGAGGGCACATAGAGGGTGGTGGAGGTGGGGAGGGCGCATAGGATGATGATGGAGGATGGACGAGGGGCACAGGGTGATGGAGGGCAGGGAGGGCGATAGATGATGGAGGATGGAGGACACTAGAGGGTGATGGGAGAGAGAGAGAACATAGAATGATGGACGATGGAGGGGCGTGTGGGAGGAGGGAGGATGGATGGGGCGTGTGGGAGGGGGAGGAGGGAGGGGTGTGTGGGAGGGGGAGGAGGGAGGGGTGTGTGGGAGGGGGAGGAGGGAGGGGTGTGTGGGAGGTGGAGGATGGAGGGGGCGTGTGGGAGGGGGAGGAGGGAGGGTGTGTGTAGGAGGAGGGAGGAGGGAGGGGTGTGTGGGAGGTGGAGGGAGGGGGTGTGTGGGAGGAGGGAGGGGTGTGTGGGAGGGGGGAGGAGGGAGGGGTGTGTGGGAGGAGGGAGGAGGGAGGGGTGTGGGGGAGGAGGGAGGATGGAGGGGTGTGTGGGAGGGGGGACGATGGAGGGGTGTGTGGGAGGAGGGAGGATGGAGGGGTGTGTGGGAGGAGGGAGGATGGAGGGGTGTGTGAGAGGAGGGAGGATGGAGGGGTGTGTGGGAGGAGGGAGGAGAGAGGGGATGTGGGAGGAGGGAGGAGGGAGGGGGTGTGTGGGAGGGGGGAGGATGGAGGGGCGTGTGGGAGGGGGAGGAGGGAGAGGGTGTGTGGGAGGGGGGAGGAGGGAGGGTGTGTGTGGGAGGAGGGAGAAGGGAGGGGGTGTGTGGGAGGAGGGAGGAGGGAAGGGGTGTGTGGAAGGGAGGATGGAGGGGTGTGTGGGAGGTGGGAGGAGGGAGGTGGGGTGTGGGAGGGAGGATGGAGGGGGTGTGTGAGAGGAGGGAGGATGGAGGGGTGTGTGGGAGGAGGGAGGAGGGAGGGGGTGTGTGGGAGGAGGGAGGAGGGAGGGGGGGTGTGGGAGGAGGGAGGGGGTGTGTGGGAGTTGGGAGGATGGAGGGGTGTGTGGGAGGGGGAGGATGGAGGGGGTGTGTGGGAGGTAGAGGATGGAGGGGGTGTGTGGGAGGAGGGAGGATGGAGGAGGTGTGTGGGAGGAGGGAGGAGGGAGGGGGTGTGGGAGGAGGGAGGAGGGAGGGGCTGTGTGGGAGGAGGGAGGGGGTGTGTGAGAGGTGGAGGGAGGGAGCGTGTGGGAGGAGGGAGGATGGG